TTTAACATTTTGGCTTCCTGTTGGTGTAGTTTTTCCTCTCTAAAGGAACAAACATATGTAGACTGAAAACTGAGCCATTCAGGATCCTCTTAAGATCTCGTATATTACAGCAAAGATACCCTGTATTTAAATTTATCCAATCTCTCACCAAATCATAGTTAGAATGTCCTGAGTTGCTTTAGTCCATGTGTTAAATCTGTGCTGTGTTTATATACAGAATATATGCCTTCCCTCTCTTGTTTTGGTAGTGAAGAGTAAAACAAAAGGCCTTGAAGAAGTTCCTGGTCATGCCTGTTTTGCTTCCACAAGTGGTACTGAGTAAACTCCATCTCAAGACTCCTGTGCAAATTTCTTAATCTTCAACGTTTCTGACTTTAAATGAGGAATTTTGAGTGCACTGTATATTCCAGGACATGTCTAGTTTAACTTCTAAAAAAGTGGTTAGAATGAAGCACAGTGTTTCAAGTGTGGTTTTTAAGCAGACAAGTCAGTTCAGTTGATCTAGACGTTGTTTCTGCAACATCCAATACCTTTATTTAGATTGGGGAGAAAACTTAGAAATAAGAAGGAAGAAAACAGCAGATTCAGCAGATCTTATCTTACTATTTCCCCCTCCTGTTTTCATTTGCACTTCTATTTCCATGCAATATTTCATTTCTTTATGCATCTATCACTGTTTGCTTCTGTCAGAAGTTCAAAGGCAGCCTGCTTTCATAAAGGAGAGGCAGTATTGACTGATCTATAATATTGTTTCTACCATTTTTGACCAATCCTCAATGCATATTTCCAGTTTTGAGAAGCATTTCATGAATCATTGGGCAGTTTGAAAAATCTATAGTGTAGGCTCATTACTTTGCTAGCTGCTGAATGTTTTCCATTGGTTGTGTTGCAAGGCAAAAATGCAGCCCTTTCTCTCAGGAAAACGAGGTTAAAATTTCATATATACATAAATAATAAAACAACACATGGAGGTGATATCAGTGCGATATATTTCATTTCCTATATACCTTTGACTGCCCAGCTGTCCATTAATCCACACAAACTCCCATCATATTCCAACCTCCTTAGCACCTTTACTCTTACTTTTCTAGGTAGTCAGTCAAAGAAAAAGAAAGCTTGCTTCTTTCCTTTGAAATGTGAAACACCCAGCCATCCTCCCAAATGTCACTGGCTGCAGGCCCAGGACAAGTAATATTCTGTTCTATGCTAGCAATCATGGTTTAAGCTCAACCCGCATGAGGCTGCTGAAGTGGGAGCTTTATACTTCCAAGTGAGCTTCTTGGCCCAGCAAGCAGAGATGTATAAAATGGCTGTAGGAGTTTATTTCAGTAGGGCCAGGAGGCCCAGCTCCTGAGGACACAGATCCAGGGCTTCACAGACCACAGAATATAATGGAAATGACAAAATGATGCAATTTACCAGGAGTCACTTTTAGATTAATTTTAAATATTTAACAAATATTTTCTCATGTTTCCCACCTATCGAGTCTTCGTAACTCTGCATTTCAAAGCCATAAGGATATCGAAGTGGTCCTGATACAGTTAACCTCTCCCCATCAATCTATTTTAAGCACATCTATCACCAATATTTTTCTGAAAAACACCTTCATACACATAGTGTGATGGGAATGTTTTAAAGTGCTTTCAGCACTCCTGCAGAGTGACATGCAGAACTCACCTAGAGTTTAACTACTTTTATCACACCAGATCCCTTTTCTTCTCACTCTTTTGTGAAGGGTATTAGATAAACAAAAACTTCCTTTTTCTTATTCTCTTTAAAATTAGTCACAGATCTAAATCAGTTCTCTAATTTTTTTTTTTATTATTATTTTTTTTTAGCATAGGAGCCACACTGCCATCAATGAATCACAAAATAATTAAACATTTAAGACTGTCTGGGCTTTTGTTCTGGGGAGATGACAAGGCTGAAGGGTAGCTGCAGCTTCCAGTTTAGAGGCATTCTGTGTACTGAGTGCATGTGCAAACACACTGCCTGTGGTCATGGTGGAAAGAAGACAGGGACAGCAAGATCACACAGGCAGTAGACAGTTCACTTAGGGAAAACAACATCTGGATCATCAAACACCAACCATTGCCCTCATCCCAAATTCCACTGAATATTTTGGCTACCAGTTGCTGAGGTGCACTGGCACAGAGGCTTCTCCACTTGAGTACTCATTGCAGGCCAATCATCATGTCGAAAATATGTTTATAATTGTGCATTAGATTAAGGTGTAAATTATGCTATATAATCTCTATATGAACTTCATGAGAAATCAACTATACCTTGAAGGGGTTATTTTATATCTATCTAAGGAAATCTCTGAACAACAAACTGGGCTAAAATGCATTATAAGAAGGTAGTTATTTCATACATCCAGATATCTCAGGGGAAGTTGCCATTTGAGCAGTTTTATTTAGGAATCAGTGAAAGAGTTTTGTTGCTCCAAGTCCATTTCAGTTTTGAGAGGTTTGTCTCTGCACCACTACTTCTTACACAGATTTCTCATTCTGCATGGATTTTTATGTTGTCATTAGCATCGTAGGTCCTCCTGAAGCTGTCACAAGCAGATTTTTATTCCATATGGCTATTTTGTAGCCTGTAGCTACAAGAGAGATGAAAATGGGAAGGGTAAGTTTGAAGAGGACACAACCCAGACCATTCCATGCAGATGAAAAGCTCTCCTCAGTCAGACTTGTTTGAAAAGACCTACTACCACTTTGCCACTTTTTCTCCTGGGCTAGGGAAAGAAGATGTTTATGTTTTAATCTGTCTTTACCCTCAGCTCTAAGGAGGAATAGAAATGCATGGATTGTTCATTATCCCTTGCATACAAAAAATAAATTGGTTGAAGCAGAAAGTCAAATGGACTTTAAGAAATTTTCTGTATTGACTCATTTCCAAGTTGATTAAATGCTTGTAAGTGCAGCCTATGCTCTTCTCCTTGCAAATCTAGTTATTGGGTATACAGATTCGTATTTACATGTATGCAGATTCCAATAGCGTTAAAAAACCCAAACCTCCAGATAGCTAGAACTATTAGTTCATAGGAATTTAAAATTAAATTAAATAGCTGGGCTGTTTTCCAGATGATTTTTAAAGTTCCTGTACTTACACAAAAACCTCCGTAGGATTTACATTACACTACTGTATTTGTTTCAGTGAGCATTTGACTGCCAAGAATATGGTCTATGACCAAAATGGCAATCTAATTAAATACTTGACAAGCAGAAAGCTGGACATTATTCAAGTCAAGCATTAAATTAGAAAATTTAGTTTGTCTCCTTTATCAGTAGATTTTTAAATCAGCCTCTTCTACCAAAACCCGTAAGTTTAATGAATTTGGTCAGACATACTGTGTAACAGATGTCTAACATAGAGCCATGAGCCTAAATCATAAAAATGATGCTTCATTTTGACATGGCAAAATATATACGGAAGACTCAAAAAGGTCAGTCACCAGCAACCTGCTTGCTGGTAGTTGAGAAACGGCACTGTAAAATGCATGAGCTGCCTTTTGTACTCTCTTATAGGAAACCTTGGAGAGCCACAGATAATTTGCTTTCAATGATTCATCAAGTTGGCCCTTTGTTTCACTAATTTGAGTGTCAAGTGCAACCACATAATAAAGAATTACCAGGACCTGATAAGATTCTTCTTACATTGCTCTGTTTGTCTGAACAACTGGTTCTGTTGAAACCAACCCTACAAACTGCATAAACAGCAAGTGTGTGTGCAACTGGCATCTTCTGTGAAATGACAAAGCGTGTTTACTGCGTTATCCGCTGGTGAACCACACCTTCATGCTTCTTTTTCCTTTTATAAAAGGCACTAATTGCAGCATGCTGTGCCCATGCTAGAGATGGCGTTTGTTTCACTGTTGGTCCTCCAATGAATTAACAAAGATAAAAAATTGATTTCAATGACAATTCCAGCCTTGAGAAAGGTGCTATTGTGGCCACGGTGGTTACCCTGCAGATAGTTTTCTCCTTAATGTAATTTTTAATACTGCATAGCTGTAGGTTCGATGAGAAGATATATATTAAAGCTACTGTTTCGATGAGTAGTTTCAAGTGAAATAATTCCATGATTAGGAGATAGATTTTTTTTAAAATGCTGTCAGTCTAATAACTTTATAAGAGATAAACCCTAAAAATGGCTTGTTTAGAAGGGGCACATTTATAAACGTGGAATTCCCACAGCAAAAGATCTATGTAATTTGAGGTCTGATAAAGTTTTCACAACTGAACCATAAACTATTAAGACAAAGAAAGAATAAAAACTTTAGAAGGCTGCTTGTGAGTTTGGGAAAATGTCCGCCTTCAGAAACCAGAGAGATGGCATGGGGAGCAAGTCTGTGAGATTTGATTTATAAGATGGAGAAAGCTTCTGTCAAAAGGGTTTGAAACCGGTTATTAGAGCTTAGGCAAGGGATATTGTCAGCACCGCACAAGGAGTTGAGAGCGTCTATTTTTTTACTAACGTGAATTTAAAGTATTGCCTGGTGGCTGCCAGCTCCAGGAAACCCAGGCAGCTGTGGGAGAACGAGAAATTTTCCACTAGGTAAAAATACAAATAATGTAACGTGAAGGTCGTGCCCCGGTACCACAAGCAGGACGGAGGCCTCGGCAGTGGGAGGGAGGGAGGGAGGGAGGGAGGAAAGGAGCTCCTGTCTCTACTCCTGCTCGCTCGGGGCTGGAGAGGCGCCGCCCGCCCGGTGCCCGCCCGGTGCCCGCCCGGTGCCCGCCCGGTGCCCGCCCGGTGCCCGCCCGGTGCCCGCGGCGTTCCCGCTGCTGCCGCCCCGCCGCGCCGCGGGCTCGCCAGCGGAGCAGCGCCCGAGCGGGAGGCAGAAGTTAACTTCCACCTGCCCTGAAGTCGCCGCTGCGCCGGCAGCAGGAGGCGGGGGCGGAGGCGGAGGCAGGCGGGGCAGCCGAGGACCCGGCTCTGGCAGGCTCCGAGGGTCCGGCCGAGTGTAATTCCCCCCTAATCCCCGCCACGGCGGCGCTTCCCTGGCCGAGCCATGTCTGCGGCTTCCCCGCCATGCTGAGCCTAGCGGGGAGCGGGAGGACTGGCGGCCGGGAGGCGCACAAAATGAAGACCCTGATGGTAAGTGCATTGTTGGCACGGCTCATCCCGGCTCCGGCGGCGGGGAGAAGAGCAGGGGAGCGGCGCGGAGCGGAGCTGCCCCGGGCACCGTGCACACGCTCCAGCCTTCGCCGGGCTGCATCCCCGCGGCTCTCCGGCATCGCGCGAAGGCGGTCAAACCTTGGTGGCGGCGGCCAAGAACTTTCCGCCTGCTTTCTTTTATTCGTGTTGCTGGTGGTTTGGGGGTTTTTGCGTGTGTGTGCGTTTTAAGGAGCGTACAGAAAACCGATCTGCTTAAAGGACGAGGCTGGAGGTAGCTGGGCGGGGGGAAGCGCTACAGTCCCCAACACTCGTTAAAATGCACGAATGAGATGCCCAAAGGGGGACGGCGGCACGGGAATGAGAGGCGCGGGGTAGCCGGACGCACGGAGGGGAGAAGAGGTGAGGAAGCAGGGCTGGGGAAGGAGGGAGGCACGGGAGCGGGCTGGCGAGGGGGCAGAGAGGAGGATGGAGGGGCTTCCCCAGTTCTCTTCTCGCACTTCTGCCGGGTGTCTGGTGGGTGAAACTTGCGGGTGCGCCGGCGGGGAAGCGGCGCGCCCCGCCGAGCCCCGCGGCGGGGGGGGCCCGCTGGGCCCGGCCTCTC